CTTTTGTTTACGGTTCCTGAATTAATCGTCTATGTCACATTGTCCAGGCCATCGACCAGGATTATGGAGGATATTCTTCGACGTTTAGCGTTGAGCTGGCCTCCGTATGCAACGGCAGTTCAGCCGTCGCCGAATTATATGCTACCGGGCGTGTCCCCAGGTGGCGGAATGTCTCCTTTGTAAAGGAAAATGTGAATAAATCTCGCAAACTTTGCATTAAGATGAATAAGTAGTCGTGGACGATTCAGCAGTGGTACTGGATGGTGTGGTGGATTTCCGCCTGGCAAGCGTTCTCCATATAAAAGGCCACAGGCCGCAAAAAAGGACTGTGACGTGGTGGATGTAACTCGCCACTAAATAAAGCCATTGTCGACGAGAGAGTTTGTACCCTGGTATAACTTGGTAATCCGAAAGGCGTATGAACCGGAAGATCGGTTACCAGCTCCCAACGGGTGCGAGTCCCTCGTATCACCCCACTGTATTGTGGGTTAGGTCCTTTGGCCAAAGGCTCGGGGTGGTGGTCCGTAAGAAAACTCCCTACTTGGGAACCATGGAATTGAATTGAAAAGCACTCGCTCGCTCTGCTAATGGTTTGCACTTCTGCTGCTGCTACTATTACTTTATATTCACACATCACCTACTTATCTACGATTCATCTGTATCATCCTACCCGGCTATCGCCCAACTCCTCATCGATGAACAGCACTCCGCCCTATGATGAAACTATCGCTATGTCAATCATACAGCTAAAAACAGGGATAAGACAATCCCAAGCTCCGTTACCTCTGTTTCTTCAACTCAAAACAGTGCAATTTGGGTGCGCTCAATCTGCGCACCCTAATGTAGACTGGACAACAAGCCGGTCTCGCACGCACCCGGAAATCTCTTGCAATAGACACCTGTTGCTTATGTGAAACCCGATCTCATGATCCTAACACCGTCGACCGATTGTCTTCACCCATAGACCCCTTCCCTTATTAGCCTTACTGATAACGCCGAGTCCACTGCAGCTGGGCAACCTGGTGTTAGGATTGTCCTTAGTTCCAGAGCCAAAACCGCCCCTCTTGAGTGGATACCCATCAGCAGTCACTTCTGAGCTATTCGGTTACAAGGTTTGTCCAAAGTTAAGAGGCGTCGAGGAAACAAACGCGCTCTTTTTGTTCTCTCCGCCCATGCGCCCGCTGATTGTATTACGGATTCAAAGACCCATTCTATCATAGCTTACATGAGCTATTTTTAATGACCCCCAAAACGGACATCAATGTTATGGTGCAGGATTTCAACGCGCGTGTTGGTCAAGTACTGCAAAGCGAACGCTATCTCGGAGGTCCGCATGGATAGGAGAACGTTCGTTCGGATAATGGAAAAAGGCAGCTTAGTTGATGTGGCGACCACCAACTTTACCTAACCAACCTGAAGGTTCGCCATCCGAGACGCCACTAAGCTACCTGGCGTGCGCCATCACCGTAGCAACATTGGTCGCGGATTGATCACATGGCCATAAGTCATCGGTGCTGTGGCAGTGTCCCAGACTGCAGAAGCTATTGATCAGCTTGCATCGAATCAGATCATGCGCTGGTACGTGCGACTGTATGCATGCGCTTCCGTGGCTCGCCTAGGATAAAATAAACACGTTTGAACATTCGTAAATTGGAAGACCCCGCCGCGCAAGTAGAATGTTAACGGAGGCTCCGTGACAATTTCACTTCCCCCCCCCCTCTGGAAACTGATCAGCATAGGCTACGTTTACAGCAGGTCATAGTTTCTGCGGTGCTATCTACCTGTGGTCTTGTTCGTTCAACAGCTAAACGGCGGACTTCTGCGACATCGTCGGGACTACTTGACCGCTGATGATCTATTCCCGTCAGTGTGGAGTACAATGAACTTCGACGGATCATTTGTCAACAATTAAAGGCAAGTCTTCGCGGTGATCGTGAGTGCTGGTGGTCCAAACGAGCCAGGGAAGTGGGAGCTCCTGCAACTCCTGGGAACACCCACAGATTATTTTATCTCATCAGATCCATTGCATGCAAATCACATGACATCAGTGAGGCAATCTGCGCGTTAGAGGGTACATAGATCACTAACCTACGCAAGCGTCTAGATCCAGCTCAACCACCGGTGACATCCCGTTGCTATCATATGATGCATGGCGTGTGTGCACAGATTCTCCCACTGAGGCAAAGATGTAGAGAGCAGTCCGGACTCCGAACCGATGCAAAGCCCCACGCCATGACAGCCTTCCTCCGGCCCTATTCAAAGATGGAGAGAATATTGTTGTTAGCGAACTGCTCTCGCTTTTCACGAAGGTGTGGGTTGATGAGGAGATCCCCGACGCTTGGAGCGAATCTATCGTGGTCCCGAGCTAAAAGAAAGGCCGCCGCAGCCATTGCATCAACTACCGAAGAATAATCACTTACTCCGGTCGCGTCCAAGGTTTGTGTCCATATTGCTCCGCAGGCTTTCAGCTACACGAGAATTTGTCTCGCAAGGAACTAGTTGGTTTCGTACCTGTTTAGGATGCATCGAACAGAACTTTGCGCTGCGTCAAATTCTTGAACACCGTCAAGTCCACTGAAGACCAACAATAGTGGTTTTCGGACATCCGTGCCGCTTTTGACTCCATAGATAGAACATCTCCTTGGAACTGTCTGCTAAGGAGCGGTGTACCCGATAAATTTGTCACAATCTTGAAAGGACTTTGACGTCACACATCGGGCAAAGTTAGAGCTTATGGAAAGTTTGCTCAGTCGTTTGCTGTTACAAACGGAGGACGCCAAGATTGCCCAGTCTTACCGTACTTAACCAAGCTTACCATCGAGGACGTTCTTCACCGCGCACTGGGAGGAGCCGAGAGCTGCGGCGTTGAGCTCCTCTCAGGGGAAAGAGTTACGGACCTGGATTATGCTGATGACATCGCTTTGCTGGGGTACGACCCACAGGCCATCCAAAACGTTTTGATCCGCTTAGCGATCGAGGCATCTAATTATGGTTTGTATTTCGCTCCATCCAAATGTAAAACACTGCTCTAAGATTGCTAAGTGTCTGTGCCTACACTAACAATTGCAGTTGATTGCCTAGAGCAAGTTAATCGCTTTATGTAACTCGGAATTTGTGTCATGGCGGGTGGCGGCGTTGGAGATAGAGTATCTCAGCGAATTGCTAAATCCCGCTTGGTGTTCACTAACCTGAGACACTTGTGGCGTCCTCGCGACACCAGCCTAAGGCTCAAGGGCAGAACGCACGGTACCACTGTCCGTGTGGCCCTGCTGTACGACAGCGAGACCTGGCCTGTTCGCGCGGAAGATCCGAAACAACTATCATCTTTCGACAATCGCTGCTTACGAACGATCGCTCGTGTGTGGTGACAAAACTATGTACGCAGTTAGAAGTTAGAAGTCGAGTACTAGGAGCGAACAATCCCAGCCTCCAGGGCACTGTTTTCGAATACCGTCTAGGTTGGCTCCGTCACGTAATGCGCATGCCAGGCAATCGACTTCTTCGCCGAGCATTATTTGAAATCTCTGGGAGTGAATGGAAAAAATGTCGAGACGGACAACCGATGACGTGGAAAAGGAACAATAAGAATGTCAATCATTATTTGGCATCAGCAGGATCTGTCCCTTTTTTAGGTTATGGACCACGTGATGGGGACTCCAAATGGTTGGAGGTATTGGAGCCTGTGGCTCGCAATCGAAACCAGCGGCGTCAATGATATTCAAATATTTCTTTTTCACCCAAAGTTCAATTGTAAATAAGCAAAAACATACAAAACAGCGTGTGAAACACTAAGGATAAAAGAACAAAAACACACTTGCGTTTGCTTGTTCAATAAACCATTTTACATCCCGTTACAGCCATGGTTCTAATGGCACAGTTGTCTATTCTCAGGATTATATATATATATATATATATATATATATATATATATATATATATATATATATATATAGTGAGAGAGAGCCTAAAGTGCCGGTCAGTTCGTTGGCTTGATACCTGCTCGACTGCACTGTGTGCAAATGCCCTCACGTATCTTTCAAGGTCATTAGTGGACAAAGTACGCCAGCCCTGGTCCGGTTTGTTGAGGCTCACACCAGGCGGAGACTGAAGCTCCTTCTATTCCAATGTGACTTGGTGGCCAGCTCAGCGTTGCTCTGGAAAGAAGTAGGTTCGGTTATTGGCAGTTATCACTGCAATCGTCGTCTCTCCCATATTTTGCCACAAACTTAATGGGGTATTTGTTATCACTGTGTTGATAGAATGCGCTGTAATTCACTTGTGATCAAATTCTCCGAGCAGATTCAGCGAGCCCTCGCCAGCCGTGCTTTGCCTTGGTAAGGCAAAGGTTCGGTCACTGGAGGCTATCACGCCGATCGTCAAAAGTTCTGATTGATTGCATTTATCGATCCCCTGTTATATAATTCTACCACTGCATGTGTGTAAGCGGCTGACTGAATGCAGGAAATAAACTAATTATGGACTAGCCAGAAAAAGGTTGGTCGTTTTCGTCATATTAAAATTTATAGAGAAATGGTTACATGAAATTATTAAAGGAACACCTCCAGCCAGATACTGTTTGCTCGTTGGATATTCCACAGATACGAATACCGTTACCCATGTAGTCGAATTTCTAAACGTCTTCTAACTGATCGCCCCCAAGGGTTAGCACACGGGTGGGTCTCAGCACTTAGAGAGTGTAAAGCGTGGCCCAAGACGACTGACAGCCAAAGCTAATTTATCCAGTGCTGTTTGGCACGATCGTGAGCTGTCACATTAGAGTAATATCGTTAGCATACTACAAATCAAGAAGTCGATCATCTGGAAGCAGCTTCTCACTTTCCAATTCATGTCCAGTAAAGGCAGTTTCCATGAGCTCATCGATAGCGAAAGTAAAAAGGAAAGGTGACAGCGGGCATTCATGTCCTACTGAAGGACGGCGACAACTCAAACTGGAAAATTCCAACGTGGAACTGATCAGGAGAACAAAGTCAAACACTCACTTGTCGATTATGAAGCTGGCGATCAACGTAAATTTGACCTTCTGTTATGTATCCCGTCAAATCGGGAATGGGATGAGTTATGTCGTCGTTGGGCATGGTCAATATTGGAATCTGGGTGATTGAGCCACTCCGGCCTTCAACTCGCCCAGCACGTTCATAAATTGTTGCCAAGTCGGTATACATGTAGCCGGGGAAACCGCGACGACCTGGAACCTCTTCACGAGCAGCCGACACCTATAAAAGCAGCATAGGAAATATGATAACTAGCCAGATGATAATTCTCTCGATAGGAGGAATTCTTGGAAAAAGCTTACCTCTCTCAAAGCCTCTGCATATGAGCTCATATCCGTCAAAATAACTAATACGTGTTTCTCGCATTGGTAAGCAAGATATTCAGCTGTTGTTAGGGCAATTCGTGGAGTGATGATACGCTCTATTGTTGGGTCATTTGCAAGGTTGAGGAAAAGGCACACATTTTCCATAGAGCCGTTTTCTTTGAAATCTTGCATAAAAAACCTTGCGGTTTCCATGTTAACGCCCATTGCTGCAAAGACAATGGCGAAATTGTCCACATCGGAGTCTTTGACTGCTTTGTCTGACATTTTCACCAAACCAGCCTGTCGGCAGATCTGTGCAGCGATTTCATCATGAGGTAATCCGGAAGCCGAAAATATGGGAATCTTCTGGCCACGTGCAATAGAATTCATAACATCGATACTGGATATACCAGTCTGAATCATCTCCTCTGGGTATATTCTGGACCATGGGTTAATTGGTTGACCGTAGATATCCAAATAGTCTTCAGCTAAGATGGAAGGACCTTTATCCTTCGGTTTCCCAGAGCCATTAAAAATGCGTCCTTAGAAACATATGGAAAAGAAACCGGAAACAAACCCAACATATCCTCGGACACGGGAGTCCGCAAAATATCCCCAGTAAATTCGCAAGTCGTGTTCTTTGCATCGATACCGCTGGTTCCTTCGAAAACTTGTACAACCGCTTTTTTGCCACTGACCTCCAATACTTGACCAGTTCGATGCGTGCCATCGGCGAGAGTAATGCGCACGATTTCTGCGTACTTGGGAAATTTCACATCATCCAAAATCACCAACGGCCCATGTACCCCAGAAACGGTTCGGTAGGCTATTCGAAAAAACGGCAAGGGGGAATACGGTGAAAATCGGCGTGAGATCGAGAAAACAGACGGTTAAATATGCGAGGTGTAACGAGTGACAACACGCAATTTATGTTAAGGAAGGAGACAACTCAAAGTCACAGTAAGGTGACAGACTGTGGTTCACCAATGATTGATAACTCTCCCACATCTGCAGGAAGCCGGTGGTGGGGTTTCTAGTCAAAACAGTTGTCATACAAGCGCCGAATGTCCAAGGCATGTGCGAAGCAGGTCGTTCGGACCAGAGATGGTGTGAAATAGGGAATGCGGGGTCAGAAGAGAGGCTCAGTGCTCAACCAGTTTGGACGAAATGCACGATCCAAGTACTGAAGTGCGACTGTTCAGTATAATGAAATTCATGTTACTGCGATATTAAAAATGAGTACAAGTGAGAATATGGAAACTAGTGTCTTCCATGACGATCTACCCGTAACAAACAGCCATGATTACAAGTGAGTATTAAGGAGGTTGTGTGCCATAAGTTGACATTTATGACACTCAGATTCAGTCAGACAGCCACCACAAGTCCGGAAAAGCAATGTACAACCGTTGCATTCTTTTGGGGATCGTCAGCAGTGCTCCTTTCATCTGAAGCCTGTAAAGCCTGAACAGTCGCCTCGGCTGTCACCAGCCTGTGGTTAAGACCAGTGAAGTACGGGGGACGGTAACGACCGACGTGACTAAGTCACTACATGTGATATAACGCCCATCTCTATCCACTGATTTATACGTTACTTCCGTGCAGAGGGTAAGGTAGCCCCACAACATGCGACTAATCTATCAACCTTAAGCTGCTAACTAACTTTAGGCATTATAGGCAGTTTGGTCTGCGAACTGATTACAAGGGAGCAGTAGGATTGCGTGAAGCAAGGGAGAATGGACAGCAACATCTCCCAATCCAGGCCACCAAAAGAGATCTGCCGTTCTGCAGTGATAAATCAGTAAACAGCTGTCAGTTAAAAAGAATGGAATAAATTCATTGTGTAACCAATTTGTGCCTCCCAAGTGTCGGGAAATCGGACAGGTCAAAGCACATTGGTTTGACAAAGAATATGGTAAGCTGGTTCGGCAGCGGCCAGGCTATTGGACAAATTCTTTATCTCCGGCTCGGTCTACGATGTAAAAAAGCAGCGAGATATCTGCAACGGTGTGAAAACGAGCAAGCGCAGGTAATTCGAAGAGCAGCTTGCAACCGCAGCAACCCCCCCCCCTCCAAAGAGAATGTTTGCGCATGTGAAGCAGCGACTGAGGAAGACAAGTAACCTACCAATGGTAGAGGACGAGAACGGACAGCCCCTATCCTCCAGCACCGAGTTTGTATCCGCCTTGGCGGCGTAATATGCTTCAACTTTTACAAATGACCAGGCGCCTGTACCGATTTCGATGTGAACCACCTTTAGCGAACTGGACAATCTGGATTGTGGTGTGGAAGAGGTGCGTTACCTACTCGACACGCTTGATGGTAGCAAGCGAGTCGAGTCTGACGGGCTCCACACGCTGATTGTCAAGTCGTTATCGGTCATCACCTCGAGTGCCGTGACAGACCCGTTCAACATGTCACTGTCCGAAGATACATTGCCGATTGGTTGGAAATGCTACGTGGTAAGACCGATTCCGAAAGGCGATGACTCCAACAAAGTAGACAACTACAAGCCAATTTGTTTGACACCTATTCTGCCCAAAGTTGCAGATATTGTGAAGAAACATTTTCCACAGCTGTTCCGGTCGAAAGATCTTCTGAGGCCCGCACAGCATGGTTTCAAGCCAGGTCGTTCATGCATCACTAACCTGCTCGTGATGAGGCATGAATGGATGCAGGCAGTGAAACAAGGGAAGTCGGTCCAAGTGATCTACATCGATTTCAGCAAAGCGTTCGACAAGGTTAACTATGGGGTTCCCCTTCTAAAGATGAATACGGTATTGGTGAACCTCTGCACCAGTGGATCTATGACTTTCTCGTTGGACGAAATTGGAGAGTACAAGTCGATAGCCATCTGACCGATTGGTATCCTTCGAGCAGTGGCGTACCCCAAGGCACGGTGCTGGGGCCTACATTGTTCCTGATTTATATCAATGACCGACGTCAGCTTCTTCGGTCACCGTATGCCCTGGTTGCAGAAGACATGGAGAGTGATAAACACACCCGACGACTGCGGCTTACTACAAAAAGACCTAAACCGTCTTCCCGTGTGGTCTTCAGAAGTCCACCTCCCGGTCAACCCATCCAAGTCGGTATTCATGAGCCTAGGGAAGAGTGGTGACGACCGAACTTACACTCACGAGGGCCAACTGCTACACCCCAAATCTTATGTGAAAAACCTATGAGGACTCTCACGTTGCGACTTGAAGTCCATTGACAACACGAACAGGCTACATCGTAATGGACTGCGCATGCTTTGGGCACTCAAACGTAGTTTCTGCATCTGGTCTGAAGAGGATGCCACTCGCCTCTTCTCCTCCATCATCAGACCAATGCTAGAGTACGGCTTGATCGCCTATTGCCCGACCACTCGCGGTGGCCAAATCAGGTAGGAAACGACTATAGTGTGTCACCATACCTAGAAAGGATCGCAGCTCACTGCATGGTCTCAGAGCATCAAGGATGGCCCAGATATTTTCCCTTAGATGGAGGAAACCATGCTTATCCAAAGGAAATGCATGGTACTGGACACTGTCTGCGAAAAGTACGCATTTGGACTACTTCAGCTTGAGTCCACTGTCTTGGAAAGGTTGCAAGACCGTCGAAAGCGAAGTCACGTGATCGTGATCAGTTCTGCCAGGAATTAGAATGTCATTTAAATAAGCGCATGCACCGGGTATTCCTTTCACTAAATTGTCAATAATCCTCTGATACATTGCCGGCGAAGAATGTATTCCGAATGGAAGTTTCTTGTAGTGGAACAAACCCATGAGCGTATTGATGGTGGTTATATCCCAGGCTGATGTTGCATTCTTGATGCTTCTTCACCACAGTTGGGCTAAACCAACTTACACTTAAACTAGGTCTTTTTAAGCTGGATAAATTTCATTCCGCTTTATTTGGTTTGTTCTGCCTCCCTGAATAATGTTCTATTAACTGGCCACGTTGCTTACATTAATTGCGCTTATCTTCGGTAATTTTGTTGCGTTTGTAGCATTTTAAGTAACTTGTGGACATTTCTTACTTATCACGGATTTGTTGCTAACCAAGTTATTTCATATGGTAATTTAGCGAAGAGTTATGCCACCGTATCTGTATGCATTATTGGATTTATTTTATTTCAGCTTGTCGATTAAAGTGAATGGCTGTTGTTTGATATCCCTGGTATGGTTGCGCTTGATGTGTATGTTGACAAGGTTCCTACCTGTCTATTACCCACTACATCGTTCATACTGGCTCCAGGAGACAGTTGGTCGTTGCTGGAGGGGACGGGGTGCACGGTACTTGTGGCCGTGCTAGGCTCAAAGAGCGGTTCCATGCACTGAGTGTGGAGCGGACTACGGTCTAGCCACCGCCTTGTGTGCGCTTGATTCCCAAATACAGCGTGCTTGTGTTTGCCTGTGAAGGAGTGTGGGCCGGCTCCGTTGATGAAACGTGGTTCCCATCCGCATGCCTCCCGGTCTTATTCCTTCGGGTTTACACTGGATATGGGGTATGTGGTTGGAGCTGTGGGTGGTGCAGCGCAAGCCATCCATGGTCCCTCTGCAGGCGCAGGCGTCCTGTGGCTTGCCACAGTGACAGGCAAATCCGAAACCGGATGCCGCCAACCATATATCCCAGGACCAGAACTCGAGTGAGCGACCCGAGCGACGCATTGCACTGGTCGCGATGGAATTGGCGCGCTACCACATCGATATTGCGGCGCTCAGTGAAACCCGGCTCGCTGGACAAGGTGTTGCATGAAGCTGGTTCTGGCTATACGTTCTACTGGGTGGGCAACGCCACCTCAGCACCACGTGAACATGGGGTCGGATTTGCAATATCCGATCGCCTAAGTGCCCACCTGGTGGGTGAACCAACTGGTATCAGCGCGCGACTGATGACTGTTCGCCTACGACTCGGAAGAGGTAAGTTTGCTACCTTTATAAGCACGTACGGTTCGACCACGTGTTATCCTGATGACAAGCGTGATCAATTCTCCGTGATACGGTCTATGCCGAGGAGCGACCGACTATTTCTACTGGGTGATTTTAACATGCGTGTTAAGCGTGATGCATTGGTGTGGACAGATGTTATCGGTCCGCATGGCATTAGTTTAGCGAAGGAGAACGGTGACAAAATGCTCTCAATGTGTGCAACTCATGGCCTGACGATCACGAACACTCGGTTTGCACTGAATGAGTGATACAGCAACTTGGATTCACCCAGGGAGTGGTCACGCTTACCTGCTCGACTATGTCATCGTACATCAGCGTGATATGCGCATGAGACGTGCACTGCGTGGAGTTGAGTGGGGCACTGATCACAAGTTGAGGCGGACCAAACTGTACACATATCTTCGCAGATCTATTTATTGCACTCCCGCCGTGAATCGGCGTAAATTTAACCTTCTCTACCTCGTTACTGTGGCGAAACGTATTGAGCTGGAGAAGGCGATGGCTGCACGACTGTGCGACGTGGAAGGCATAGCCACAGTGGGCGACCTGTGGCACCACATTCGCGACGAGGTGACAGCTGCTGCCGAGGAGACCATTGGGTACGCAAACTGTAAGCGGCCCGATCGGTCTAATGAGAACAATGCGATGATTGGCGCATTGGTGTTTGAAAAGAATGCAGTATTTGCTGCACATGTGGTAGACCCAGTTACTCGGGGAAGACGAGTCAGTTTCGCAAACTTTGACGGCGACTAACTCGATAGCCCCTTCGATTTAAAATACATGGTGGGCGGAGAAGACGAAGCAAATGGAATGTTACGCCGAACGCCGTCAACACAAGGAACTCTTTGACTTCTTGAAAGCGGTGTATGGACCGTTGCAGCCACTGAAGACG